TTTTTTTTTTTTTTTTTTTTTTTTTTTTTTTTTTTTTTTTTTTTAATTTTCTGAGGGATGAAAATATTACACTATATATCTGAGTTTTGGTTTGTAAATAGTCATGAATTTCAATAATAATGCCATTTTTCAAATTAAAACTCATATTCCAAATTTAAAATTAAAATTGGAAAAGTTAGAGAAGGAATGGATTGGGATTCGAGTCTAAAAAGTTCTTCATTTTTTTTTTGCTTGGAATTGTGTTTGATCTTTCAAGAGAGTGTTTTCATTTTTTTTTGTTTGGAATTGTGTTTGATCTTTCAAGAGAGTGTTCGGTGGGATGAAAAGTGTTTAGACTAACAGGGTTCCTCCCTATTTTGGTTTATGTTCGGTCTGAGTTCTAAATCAACTAAATACATGTTAAACGTGACTATGTATTTCGATGGAATTTCATCATTCATATGAAATTGGATTATAATTTAGAAGTTTATTAATTTTTTTTTAAATATTTCTCGTTAAAACTTTAATTTGTGGTGTTAATGGATGTCGTGTACACGCAAATATATTTTTTAATGGTAAATTGTATAATAACTTATTTTTACCAATATTCATCCATTTTTATAAACATTCAAATAAAATAAAATATTTAAAATTTTGGAGATGGAATAAAATCGGATTCTCAATAATTGTGATAAAATTAAAAAATTTAAACTCAAGATTAAACAATGAAAAAGCATATTTATGGTAACAATTTTATTTTATATTTGAGCAACAAAAGGAGATGCTTTTTTCCTTTTTTATTTATAAATTATTTTTGGGTCCTTGACCAACACATTACCAAAAAAATATATATATATAAAAATATATTCAACGGTGGTAATCAGTTTGATTCTTTAAGCCACCATCACATAAGATTTTAGTCGTATCTCTGTAGTTGAAATATATAATGAGAACGTATAAAAAAACAGCTTTTGTTTACATAAAATTACGTCATTGTCTTGTGATAACTATCTCTACTTAGAGTATACGAGATGAACGTTGTTTTGTTATGTATAGCCTTCTCGACTTGGATCGCGAAGTTTTTCTCAACTTCATGCTCCGTTTGACAAATTCCTTCGAGTTGTCAACTATGTATATATGACTGTAACAACTCAAGTCCACCGCTATTAGATAATGTTTGTTTTTTTTGTCAATTTCGTATTCATCTTACGACATTTTCATACGCTTATAACAAATATTTCGTTCATCTTTTCAATCGTATGGAATCTTAATGAATTATTTTGTTCAATAGAATCATAAGTGTATTTGCACGAGTGGCGAAGTGATGATGATCGTCACTTAATAAAGTTTATTTTTTATAATATAAACATTTTCTATAAGGCCGACAAACATTATATTATATATTAAATCTTATTCTTAATGCTCTTCAAGCTTGAAAATGACACTATATTAACCTAAAAGATAATATTTTATTTATTGAAGCAAACAAGAATATTAACCTAAAAGAAAATAATAATTAAAATATATAGTTTGTAAAAATAATAATGTGACAAATGCACGGTTGAATTATATCTCTTTAACTTGTTAAACAAAGAGGACCCTCCACAGTGGTATGATATTGTCCACTTTAAGCATAAGCTCTCATGACTTTGCTTTGAGCTTCCCCAAAGCCTCATACCAATGGAGAGAGTATTCTTTGTTTATAAACCCATGACCATTCTCTAAATTAGTCGATGTGGGACTTTCATCATCCAGCACAACCATCTTTACAAACTTGGGAAGTTTTTTTCTTTTTTGTTATATATTCAATCCTAAAGTGTTGTGTCGGTTGCTGCTAGGTTTAAGTTGGTCTTGAGTTCATCGATCAGTGTATTTGTATTCTTTTGTTACTAAAAGAATTGTAATCGAAGGCTAGATGCTTCGTATTTTTTATACCCATAGCTTAGTGCACATTTTTAAGAATGGAAAAGTCTTTGGTGGCTTGAATTTTGATATTGGAACATCATCATCTAGTTTTATTGTGTCACGTCATGTTTTCTTTAAAATTTTTAATAAATTCCACACCGTTAAAACTCTTAAATCGACTCTTGAAATTTCGTCTCGTGGAAGGTCAAATATTTCGTTACGAGATTATATAAAGTCATGCATGTTATCTTTGTAAAAAACATAGTTAAAAGAGTCGATGTAGTTTCTTTTAACCAAAGACTAGATTTTTTTTGCAATTTTATATAGTTTAAGTTGCATGTTTAGAATCATTCAATATTCGACACAAACATTTTTGTCTTGAGATATTCGATCAACGTGTAAATGAATCTTACTTTCTCTCGAAGTGATTCCTTATCGATCTCGCGGGTTGTTCTCCAATATCATTGCCTGCATTGTATATGGGTTGAGCATTGGTAATTGGCACTAACAAAAGCTTGTTGTGGGCTCCATGATCTTAAGTTTTGGGCTTACGTGCTTTATATGGGCTAATCATCTTAACTTTTGCAATGGGCTTTCAATTTTAAAGCTTCAAATTTCAGTATTAAATTTCTACAATTAGAATAAATAAAAAAATAACTTAATAAATCCTTACCTAAATTTACCCATTTATGTTTTTTGAGAGTTTATTTTACCACTTATTATTACTACGACATTTTAAATGCTAATAATGAATTTTTTATTTATTATTTTTAATAAATAAATAATTTGTACATAAATTATGGTTCGGCCATGCTCATTTTTACAACAAATTTATTACCATATTTATCTTTTTAATATAATTTTTCATTTTGAAATCACAAGTTCATATATACGAACATAATAACGATATACTCAATGGAATACCAATTTAAATATAATTGAACTAATAAAATATTTATTACTATTTTAAAGGCGATAATTTTATTTATTTACTTATAATTACTCAATTTAATTAAAAAAAAAAAAAGAGTTGAGGAGTGAAAATAAAATGAAAAAGGACATTGGGGGTGATTAAGTAAATAGGCGAGAATGAATCTAAAGAGGTTCGAAACCGGTTCAGAAAGAGGTTCAGAAACCGGTTCAGAAAGAGGTTCAGAAACCGGCCTGGATCTGGCAATCGAGACAAAAGTCGAAGGCATAGCATTCTTTTTCTCGTCGTCGAACTTTGGTCCTTCCTTCCCTTTCTCCTTCGTCTTCGTCTAGTCGATTTGCTCGACTCTGAAAATTCGGGATCTTACAGACAAACATGAGCGGCCACGACTCCAAGTATTTTTCCACCACTAAGAAGGGTGAAATTCCCGAGCTCAAAGAGGAGCTTAATTCCCAGTACAAGGCATTTCTCTCCCCCTCTCTCTCTACCCTTCCTTTCTTCAATTTTCTATTGCTAAGTCAATGTCTAGATTTTCATTTTTGACCCGCGATCTATATCAATCCAGATGATTGCTAGCTCAGGTGCTCTTTTTTTTTTTTGATCGTCACGGGCAACTCGTAGATCTGTTGGGTTTTGGGGTTTGCTATCTTTGTTGTCGAAGCCAGGTTCTGAGTACCTTGAATTATGTCGCTCAGTGTGCTTATTAAAGAGTCATTTATGTTATAGGAAAACATATCGAGATGAATTTGTCAAATGTCTCGATGATAGTTTAGATACTGTGATCAACTGTAAACAGTCCAAGATGATAAGAAGAATGAGGATACTTAAAACTTAATGTCTGAATTCAGCTGGGAGTATTGGTTATGTTTCGTACTTACCTGACAATATATAGTTGGTCATTCTGATATAGCTCCTACACCACTCATTTCCGAATTTAGTGTTCTTTATGATCAAATATGCTCAATATATTATTTTTATTGAGCTGATGCTTGTTTCTGGTTAAAAATTGACGCTTAACAGGCATATCATATGATTTGCCTGTTTTACCTTGAGGACCAAAAGTTGGATATAGGGATTGCTTGAATCAAGCTGATGCATATGGCTATATAATATGTTTTCCCTTGTTGTGAAGTTTCACGCCTCTTTAAGTGGATCTTCATAGTAGAAAAGAACGGTTTGTTTCTTTAGTTTAAGCTTTGCATCTCAGCTTTTAAAACGTTTTGCAGGATAAGAGAAAAGATGCTGTTAAAAAGGTCATTGCTGCAATGACTGTCGGGAAGGATGTATCATCACTGTTCACAGACGTGGTAAACTGCATGCAGACTGAGAATTTGGAACTGAAAAAGCTGGTTTACTTGTATCTAATTAATTATGCCAAAAGCCAGCCTGATCTAGCCATTCTTGCTGTGAACACATTTGTGAAGGTAAGTACTCATAATTTCTTATTGTAGTCTTTTCAACAAATAATAGTTTCCTTAGTTTTGGTTTAGACATCTAAGTCAAGTAATTTACCATGGCCTTGTGGAAATATGAATTGCGGAGAAACATAGTACCAGTTTATGGTCTCTTGTGATTGTGGTCTGTAGAAGCTTACAATACAGGGACCCAGCATCCAAAAATTTCCATATGAATTGACCCCAATCTGCATACATAGACAAATGGATATAGAACGTAATCTGCTCTATTTATATTTTGACTCTAT